GTCCACACTTGAGCTTATATGCCTGATTTTTTCCTTGTTCAGATCACTCCTCCTTGAGTTGGATTTCATCGTAGTGGCTCATTTTCCAATATTCCTGCAGGTAAGCATATTTCATCAGTTTTCGGGAATACAATTAGACACTTTTGGACTAAAACAAAAGCTAAAAGGCACTAATAAGTAGTCAAAATTCCCACTCATCAAGCCCTTGCTCCAGCGTTCCGCAAAAGGAAAGCAACTTCTGTTCCTTCCGCCGTGGTAAGGTCTGCTCGGTCGTCGACTACGCTTGCAGCAGGACTCTCGACTTCTCCTCTACATCATCTAATAGACGAGGACGATGAGGAGGAATCGTCTCCAAATGGTGACAACTTGCTTCCCCGTAAGAGGCGATCTGTAGATGTCGGCGAAAGAGTTGTCCGTGCGGGGAGTTTGGTGATAGAGGATTTCATCGTCGGAGAAATGGCGACCATAGAACTTGGATATGACACCGAGTTACTGCCCACGATTCTGCCGTCGTCGGGGGGCGAGGGGGTACGTCTCCTCCTGAGACCGTGATGGATTTTGAAGGGCTGTCGGCGAGAGTCCCTGACATCTTACAGCAAGATGAGCCATCGGCCTCACTACCAGCCGATGATCCTTCACTACCAGCCGATGATCCTTCTTCCCGGGTTGACACAAAAGGGAAAAGTGTAGCCGAAGAAGGTTATGAGACGGGCTCCGATATGGATTCCGCGGAAGTGAGGATGATGGGGGAAGGACTTACCCGACTTGAGGTGAGATTGGAGGGGACCACGCGGACTATTGCGATCCCCTTGGTCCGAGATTTGTTGGTTGATACGGAGGACGTGGTCCCTTCCCTTGGCCCCCTTTGTTCCGATGTGGAGGGTAAAACCCTTGAGAAGCTAAAGGATGCCACTTTGTCGAGGAGTATAATCGGCCTCGGCGCCTCGCTCTTAGGGTAAGTCTTTTAATCTTTCTCCATTTTTTTACGTTGAGCTCAAAGTTTCGTTCTTACTCCTCGTTTTCTATCTTTCTTTTCGACCGTGATTTAGGAGATCAAGAGTGCCCGACGAGAGGAGAGTGGTAAGGCCATTTTCTAGAAGATGGAGCGGAAATATCATGAATACTGTGATAAGCATCGCAAGATCTGCATGCAGTTCGGTGGGAGCGACACTTTTCAGGCTCTCCGAGGTGAACTGAAGGAGAAGAATTATGAATTAATGAGAGTCATTGGAAAATGCATCGTTCTCGAGGGGGCGTAGAGGAAAAAAGAAGAGGAGTTCGAGGTGAGCAGGGGGGTCGAGGCCCAATGTGCCGACCTTCAAGCCCAAATGGTCTCATTGCGCGCCGAGCTTGAGGAGTGTCAACTCAAAGTGGTCGCTTTGAGTGGCGAGGTCGCTAAGAAGACTGTGGGTTTAGAGAAAGCGGAGTTGGCCTAGCTATCGGGTGCGAGGAGAATAGAGGCTTTAGAGATCATGATCTGCATTCTCCGTTCTAAGCGGGAGGTTGCTTTGGAGACGGCCAGGATCAGAGAAGGGCGACTTGATGAGCGGATATGGGAGCTGGAAAAAGAGGCTTCAGGCCTTAGTGATCGAGTTGCTGCTCGCGAGGCCGAAAAGTCGCAGTTATTGGCTTAGCCATCCTCCTCCCGCGCTTCTACTTTTCCTGATGTTTCGCGGGATTTGTACGAGGAATGGATTCACGTCGAGGCTCAGCTGGATATATTCAGGGACCTGATAGGGGCGGGGACTGTTTCAGAAGCCGACTTCGAGGATGCTTGTGCCAAGGTACGTAAAGCTCGGTTTGCTTGTGTTTATGACCCTGCTACACCGAAAGCCGGTGATGATGAGGGAGCAGGCATAGATCGAATTGAACAGGATGCCTGGTACGAGGATGAGTATCCCATTGGCGATGGCAAAAAGGTAAGTGGAGATGGCATGGGTGATCAAGCTGGTGGTGTTTTTAGGCCGGACGGTGTTTTGTTGTTTTTCCTTCTTTTTTGTTTAGCCGCAGGCTTGTGTGTATTTTTCGTAGGTGTGTATTCGAGCCTTTGTAAAAAAAATATTTCAAGTATGAAATGTGAGTTATGTTATTCGTACCTGATTCTTTTTCTTTGTTCGGGCTTGTACATTTTTTTGATTTTGTTGCTTGGCTGCCTTCGTCGTAATAGATTTATTTGAGTAGGTCGAACGAGGTTGAAACGATGTCTAGGTTTGATTATGGCTGATGGCCAGTAGTTGGTTCGAATAAGGTCAAACACGTCGTATGTTTAATTCGAACGAGGTAGAATGTAACCTTTATTTAGTTCAGGCCATGAGCCGAGTAGGTGTTAATTTGAACGAGGTCGAATGTAACCTTTAATTAGTTAAGGTCGTGGGCCGAGTAGGTATTACTTTGAACGAGGTTGAATGTAACCTTTATTTGGGGAAAGCAAAAATAAACTTCATGTACTTGTGCTTTGTTCATATTCCTAGAGATATTTATATTTTTCGGGTGCTAGCTGGTAGTTCAGTCCCAGTCCCGGTCTATCTAGTGAGAGATCGAGCAATGAACTAGTCGTCCAGTATCTTCGTCTGTGCGTACTTCAATCCTGAAGTATCCCCCTCATCGCCTCGTTAAAACCTCCTTGAGAAAACCCAATTGGGACAAAACTCGAGTGAGGGAAAAAGAGTGCGACTTTGGGGACCTCGTCCTACAAAAGTTGAAGTACTTGAGGTGTGTAATATTCCAATTGTTTGGTAGTCGATTTCCTTCCATTGTTTCTAGTGTGAATGATCCTTTTCTTGCTACTGCCATGATTTTATAGGGGTCGTCCGAGTTTGTTCCTAGTTTACCTTCCCGGCGGTCTTTGCTTGCTTGTGTTTTAGCTTTAAGCATGTAGTCCTCGACTTTAAGTGGCTTGATCTTTGCTCTTTTGTTATAGTAGTATTCTGCTTGTTTCTTTTGGGCGACCATTCTCACGTAGGCCATATCTCTTCATTCCCTGACTTCGTCGAGTTCCTGTTTTCTACTGTCATTGTTCTGGGTTCGCTTTCATGGAAGTATTTTAGGCTGGGCTCCCCGACCTCGACTGTTATTACTTCATCAGTCCCATAGACTAACGAGTATGGCGTTTCCCCTGTGCTCGTTTTTGGGCATTGTTCGGTAGGCCCAAAGTACTTCTGGTAATATTTTTGGCCATAGTCCATTGGCGTCTTCGAGTTTCTTCTTCATGATGTTCAGTATTGACTTGTTGGAGGACTAGGCTTGCCCGTTGCCCGCGGGGTGGTAAGGCGTTGACAGTATTCTTTTGATGTGCCATTTTTCAAAAAAATCGGCGACCTTCTTTCTTGCAAATTGAGGTCCGTTGTCGCAGTTGATTTCTTTGGGGAGACCAAAATGGCATATGATGTTTTTCCATATGAAGGCAATCACTTCCTGTTTGCATATTTGGGAGAATGCTCCTGCTTCCACCCATTTAGAGAAATAGTCAGTTAAAACCAAGAGAAATCGTACGTTACCTCATCCTGCCGTGAGGGGGCCCACAATTTCCATTCCCCATTTGATGAACGGTCAAGGGGAAGTTACTGAGTGTAGGTGTTCGCCTACTTGGTAGATCATTGGGGCGTACTTCTGGCATTGCTCACATTTTTTCACAAAATCTGCGGCCTCCTTTTTCATGGTGGGGCGTACCCCGCTCGTATGAGGCACCGGACCAAAGCTCGATTGCTGGAGTGAGCTCCACGGTGGACTCCGTGCACTTCTTCAAGGACGCGCAATGTTCGATTTGGGGCTAAGCATTTAGCTAGGGGGCTGCCATATGTCCTTTTAGACAGGTCATTGTGAACGATGTTATATCTGGTCGCTTGCATTCGCAATTTTTTGGCCTCTTTTTTATCGTTTGGGAGTACGTCATCCTACAAATATGAAATAATACGGTTGCGCCAGTCCCAAGTCAGGTTTATGGTTCTTACCTCGATTTGGTCTATCAATGGGTTGAGGAGGTGGACCATATTTTGGTCTCCGGTTGTAATGTTTTTGGTGGTTTTTGCTAATTTAGTGAGGTCGTCCGCCTCGATATTCTATTCTCGGGGAATCTGGTCGAGCTGACATTCGTCAAGCTCGGGTAGTAGTTTGCTGATTTTGGTCTGGTATTTTTGTAACCTTTGATCCTTGATTTGGAAAGTCCTTGTGACTTGGTTCACCACGAGCTGAGAATCGTAACGTAACCTTAGCCGCTTCGCCCCGTATTTGAGTGTTAGTCTTAGTCCTACAATCAAGGCCTCATACTCGGCCTCGTTGTTAGTCATGTCCGGGCACCTTATGGACTAGCGAATCACTTCGCCCGTTGGGACTTCGAGTACGATTTCCAGCCCGGACCACAACGCGTTAGATGCACCATCGGTGTATAGGACCGAGAGGTCTTGTGTTTGGGAAAAAGCGTGGGCGGCTTCCTATTCGACTTCGGGCCGTATATGCGCACTGAAGTCGGCGAGGACCTAAGACTTTATCACCATTCGCGGTCGATATGTAATATCGTGCTCGCTTAGTTCAATGTCTCATTTGGACAATCTGTCTGATAGTTCGGGTTTGTGTAAAATTCTTCTTAAGGGGAAAAATGTGATAACCGAGATGGGATGGCATTGGAAATACGGTCTAAGCTTTCGTGAAGCTACGACTAAGGCTAGAGCCAGTTTTTCAAGATAGGGGTATCTGGTCTTGGCGTCGACTAGTGTCTTGCTAATGTATTATATGAGAGATTGCGTACTTTTATTTTCTTGGACTAAGACTGCGCTCACAGCCACTTCGAACACGACGAGATAGATGAGGAGAGGCTGTCCTGGTTCCGGTTTTGAGAGCAACGGTGGAGAGGACAAGTACACCTTTAACTCCTTCAGGGCTTGGACGCACTCAGGGGTCCATTGGAGGTCGTTCTACTTTTTTAGTACGTCAAAGAACTTGTGGCACCTATTGGAGGATCGTGAGATGAACCTCGAAAGAGCGGCGATACGGCCAACTAACTTCTAGACCTGCCTTTTGGGGGTCAAGTGCACTGGTATCCCGTTGATGGCCTTGATTTGGTCGGGATTGACCTCGATACCCCGCTGCGACACTAGGAAACCCAAGAATTTCACTGAGGCCACGCCGAACGCATATTTTTTGTTGTTCAGTTTCATGTCGTATTGCCTGAGTATGCCGAATTCTTCTCTTAAGTGGTCAATGTGATCTTCTTTCCTTTTGGACTTGACCAGCATGTCGTCGATGTATACCTCCATCATTTTTCCGAGTTGTTCTTTGAACATCTTTGTCACCAACCTTTGGTAAGTTACCCCCGTATTTTTCAATCTGAAAGGCATAACTTTGTAGCAGTATGTCCCCCGATGGGTGATGAAGGTGGTCTTTTCATGGTCCTCTTCCTCCATAAGGATCTGGTTGTAGACTGAGTAGGCATCCAAGAAACTTAGCAACTCGTGCACGGCAGTCGCGTCGATGAGCTGGTCGATATGAGGTAATGGAAACGAATCCTTGGGGCAAGCTTTGTTTAGGTCGGGGAAATCTTCACACATCCACCACTTGCCATTCTTCTTTTTCACCATGACCACTTTGGCGACCAATTAGGGATACTTCGACTCTCTGGCGGAGCCATTTTCTAATAATTTTTCCACTTCTTCGCGCACTGCGTCATTCATTGCGGAGTTGAACTTACGTCGAACCTTCCTCATTGACGGGTAGAGTGGATCGTCATTTAATTTGTGTGTGGCGATCTCCTTTGGGATACCTGGCATATCTGCATGGCTAAAAGCAAAAAGGTTCGCGTTAGTAGTTAAAAATTCACGAAACTTACCCGGTTCTTGAAGTTTGCAGCCGATGTAAGCTTTCTTGTTGTGGTCGTTAATGTCTAGTTGAACGGGGTCGAGGTCCTCTATGGTCGATCCTGCGGCCTCGGCCATATCGGGGTCTCTGATGTCGTCCCCACTGTCATCACTTACCGACCTCGACCCTATTGATTGCTATGTCTCTCTCTCTTTCTCTCTCATTTGTTGGGTGGCCGTGCAGTCTAGGGTGATGTGGTAGCACTCTTGAGATGTGCGTTGCTCCCCGTGTATGCTGAATATGCCTCATGGAGTTAGGAATTTGATGACTTGGTACAAGCTGGAGGGTATAGCTATCATGGTGTGTATCCATGGTCGCCCTATTATGACGTTGTATGCCGTGTCCTGGTCCATGATATGGAAAGTGGTCTCCAGGGTGACGCCACCCGTCAGGACAGGGAGTGTGATCTCGCCAGATGTTCATTCAACTGCATTGTTAAAGCATGTCAGTGTGATGCAGCGTAGTAATATGTCCTCGAGTTTAATTTGTGTGAGTACTCGGCGATGGATAATACACGTGCCGCTCCCATCATTTACCATAATGTTACACCCGGTGCGTCCAAAGGTGACATAATGAATATGAGACTTGTTAATCATGATTTAAATAATTTTAAAGTCATAATATGGCTATATATGATGTTTGGATAGAAAATATAAAGTTTAGAAAAAATCGGATTAAAGTTGCGGAAAAACCGACTAAGGATTTGCCCTGTAATAGAGCTTTTTGAGAAATATATTTCGTATTCTATATGAGGTCTTTTTGGGACATATTATATACAAAATTGAAGGTATTGGAATGAAATTTCCAATGCACTTAACTGTTCGTTCATACGATATTCGGATAAAAAGATATAAGTATCGAAAGATGGGCGAATGAGAGGGTGCCAAGCTAGCACCTTTTGACTTTTCAAATGTTGATATATATGTGCAAATGAACACTAGATACATAAGGAGCTAGTGTGTGGAGTAAGTTAAGACAAAGGATATAACCTAAGAGAGATTACGCAGAATATAGATATGAGAATGGACTAACGTGGAGTTAGTAGTTGATTCAGGAAGAGCCTAGCCATGGCTAAATAAGTGGATACAGATAAATCAGCAGGTTATGCAAGATAAACATAGTGAAACCCAACATAGGGAATTCAGTCTCACAAATATTATGACATCGTAATCCTTGAGAAATATTCAGATAGGAGTTAGGGTTGTTAAAGGTACTGTATAAGTGTTACGGAAATAGGAGAGAATACCACTAAGGAGACAATCAAAATTTGAGTTTAGAAGTAACCCTACGAGCACAAGGGCACGGAGGTATATAACTAAGGATATTTGTAGGCGAGTAAGAACATCGAAAATTCCTTCGGGTATACAATATAACAAGCTCGTAACTTTACAGGAGTCAAATAGTCTCTCTTAAGTATTACAAAGAAAGACTAGCTGAGGGAATAAGGAAGAAGGCTTCAACTTAAGCATAGTGACATAAGAAAGAAATGGTCTTGTAACAACAGTCTCACAACAACATTGTATGCACTCCATAAGAAAGTGGAACCTATCGTGGCTAATGAACGGGAAGAAAAAAAATCAAAAGATGATATTTTAGATCATATGAGTTACAGGAAATTCCAGTATTTGTGGACAATGAGATAAGCCATGTATTCATGCAACAAGTGGCAAAAAAACCATGAAAAGTAATTGCTTATGCTTAAACAGAACTAAGAAAGCATGAGAAGAATTATCCGATCCCACGATTTAGAGTTAGCCGCGATGATTCATGCACTAAAGATGTGGAAGCACTATTTGCATGGCATTCATGTTGATATCTATACGGATCATAAGAGCCTTCAATATATCTTCAATCAAAAGGAATTGAATTTACGCCAAGGGAGAGGGTTGGAGCTACTGAAAGACTATGACGTTGATATTTTATACCATCGGGGGAAGGCGAATGTAGTAGCCGATGCCCTCAGCCGTAGATCTATCGGTAGCCTGTCATATTTACAGCCGGAGAAGTGTGGGATAGCCCATGAGATTCATCAGCTAGCTAGTCTTGGAGTTCGATTACTGGACTCAAGTGATACCGGAGTTACTATTCAAGACACGACAACATCCTCTTTAGTAACTGAAGTGAAGGAACACAGTATGAGGATCATGTACGAGCTCATTATAAAGATACATCCCCTCAAAATGAGAATACACCATTTGAGATTACAAGAGATGGAGTCCTCAGATATCGAGGTCGATTATGTGTTCTAATGTGGCAGGGTTACGTCAACAGGTTATGGGAGAAGCTCACTATTCTCGTTATTCTATTCATGTAGGAGCGGCGAAGATGTATCATGATATCAGGGGAATATATTGGTGGGACAGAATGAAGAAGGATATAGCAGAGTTTGTTGCTCAGTGCCCTAATTATTACCAGGTTAGGATTGAGCATCAGAAACCCGGTGGATTATTACAGCCTATAGAGATTCTGACTTGGAAATGGGAAGTGATTAATAAGGATTTCATCATAGGCTTACCTCGTACCCAATGTAAGTTCGATGCTATATGGGTTATTGTCGATAGACTTACAAAAGCAGCCTATTTTCTATCTGTCAAGACTACTTACTCAGTAGAGGATTATGCAAGGCTTTACATTAGGGAGATAGTACGACTTCATGGTGTCCCTATATCTATTATCTCATATAGAGATGCTCATTTTATAGCTAATTTCTGGAGGTCCTTCCAAAATGATTGGGGACTCCGATAAGTCTTAGTACAACATTTCATCCCCAGACAGACGGACAGGCTGAACGTACTATTTAGACACTAGAGGATATGCTACATGCTTGTGTGATGGACTTCAGGGGTAGATGGGATGATCATCTTCCACTTATTGAGTTTGCATATAATAATAACTATCATTCAAGCATTCAGATGGCTCCATACGAAGCTCTTTACAGACAGAAGTGTAGGTTAACTATCGGATGGTTCGAGGTTGGGGAAACTAAGTTAGTAGGACCAGAGGTTGTACAACAGGCAGTTGAGAAGATTAAGCGTATACGGGAAAGGCTATTAGCAGCTCAAAGCCGTCAGAAGTCCTATTCAGATAATCGACGACGAGACTTGGAGTTTCAGGTAGACGATTGGGTATTCCTAAAGGTATCACCGATGAAAGGCGTTATGAGATTCAGTAAGAAAGGAAAGCTTATCCCTCGGTACATTGGACCTTATAAGATCATACACAGGGTAGACCAGGTAGCATATGAGTTAGACTTGCCTTCCAACTTGGAGTCAGTACATCCAGTTTTTCATGTGTCTATGCTCCGCAAGTGTATTAGAGATCTTCTAGAGTTGTTCCAGTTAACGATGTTCAGGTCACAGAGCAACTATCATATGAGGAAGCTCTCATTGCTATACTAGATAGACAAGTTCGGAGATTAAGAACTAAGGATGTGTCTTCGGTTAAAGTACTTTGGATAAACAATAATGTGGAGGAGGATCAGACTAAGACATCACAGCCTTTAGGTACGTATATGGTACTTGATTCTTATGTTAGTTATTGTTATTGGTCGTGTGAGGTCATTAGTGTTATTGATGATTGTGGCCCTTTGTGGCTTTGTATTGTTGGGTTTTCTGTGTGATAGGTTGGTAGTAGTACCATTACAAAAGAGACTCTGCCAAAATTTCTATAGATTTCTGGGAGTTTAACATTCGAGGACGAATGTTTCTAAGGGGGGAAGATTGTTATACCCGGTGCGTCCCAAAGTGACGTAATGAATATGAGACTTATTAATCATGATTTAAATGATTTTAAAGTCATAATATGGCTATATATGATGTTTGGATAAAAAATATAAAGTTTGGGAAAAATTGGATTAAAGTTGCGGAAAAACCGACTAAGGATTTGCCGTGTAATAGAATTTTTTGAGAAATACATTTAGTGTGCTATATAAGGTCTTTTTGGGACATATTATATACAAAATTGAAGGTATTGGAATGTAGTTTCCAATGCACTTAACCGTTCATTCATACGACATTCTGATAAAACGATATAAGCATCGGAAGATGGGCGAATGAGAGGGTGCCAAGCTAGCACTTTTTGACTTTTCAAATGTTGATATATATGTCTTAACTCGTCTCTCTCTTCATTTATACATAGAACCTGACCAGATAACACCATAAAACTTGTCCTTGAGCTCTCTAATAGTGCTTCAAATAATACTAACATTCCGGATACGAAATCGAGAAACGATAACATCAGAACGATCCCTACGACGAAAGTATCACTATATCACCTCTCTTTTTCTTTGTAGTTTGAATTTTGGAACGTATTTAATAGTTAATAAAATTCTTAATTTCTGTATTTAAGCTTTAAAATATTAAGGAAGTTTGATAAATTCATTTCCTAATAGTTAGAACTCACAGGACGGTGATCGGAAGCCGTGAGTTCGAGTTGTGTGACTTGTAGTGGACTATTTTGTGGGCTGTTTTGTGTTGCCTTTGGGCTGTATATTTTTCTACTATTTAATGGAGTCTTGGAGGAAAAATTGTGTGTAGAAACACCACATAATGATGAAATAGTGGGCTGATCGTTCGTCGTTACATTATTTTTAGTTGTTTGACACTACTTTGGTTGTCATTTTATGTGTGAAGTGATTAGGGTATGTGGGCTATTTTGTGGTATATTGTGATGGAGATAAGGTTGTTAAATGATGCTTATATGTTGTTATTGTTGTGTTCTTGTT